CTACCGGCTATGAGAAGACCGAGATCGTGAAACAGTGCAGAGCAAACGAAAACGGCGGGTTGACGACATTCTTGTGCTTTGTTGACGATGTTGACTCCTGTCAAATTATCGATACTTAATCGCTGGAATCTAAAATGTTACTGGGTTCTCCTAAGCGGGAGTTGTTTATTGTTTTGATCGGTAAAACGCAGGGTAAAATACGCTAGAAATTAATTACTTTGTGGGTAAAAGAAAACTCACGCCGAGGGCGAGGTCCACACTTCCGGGTTCAGCGACGACAAAATGACGCAAAAAACGCTAAAAATCCGCATAGAAGTATATAATTTCCCGACTGATTCTTGAAACTATGCATTTCTTCACTAGAATATCGATGTGTGGTTGTGGAAAATAGCATTTTAGCGCTTATATCGAAGAAAGAAAAGTTGTTTACACGCGCGTCGGCTCGGTCAAATAAGCCTTCTCACAGATCCAGCGCCGCACAGGATTGTGGGCCAGGTCAAAGGTTAATGTCACTTCGGACGGACGCGCGAACCGTGCGATGTAGCGTGTTTACATGCGTGCCAGTGTTTTGGTCTCATCTGTCTTTGGTTTTGGTGCTTTCTGTTGCATTTTTCGCTGGTGCTATGGAGTTTGAATGTGAAATAGACTCAAAGGGTAGTCTTTGGGGCCATTGTGCGGTGTTTGGATGTGAAAATGGCCGACGAAAAGTGGAAGATTGGGAAGCTGAACAGTGCGCCGTTCACCCAGTTTTTTTTTGTTTTTGCACGCGTATCTTGTGTTGAACCTGTGACTTTGTTTTCATTTCATTCCATTTTGTTTCGTCGAAATGTGTCCTTCCATGTATTTAATCCGTTGTTTGTTCGTCTGTATGTTTAAATTTGCGTCTCCGCCACATGTCCCAGCACTGGCACCGCCGGTCACGGCGTAAGTGCAAGCTGCGTAAGGCGCTATATATACGTTTCTGATCCACTCTGGTGGACCCCTACTCTTATCGACAAGTTTGGCGGGTTCTTTTCCGTGTGACTCTTCGGAAACACCGGACCGAGGACTTACCTTTCTGCTACGAAGGACAACAGCCATTACTGGTTTGGTCCACAGATGGGCACCGCCGGCCAGTTGTACACTACATTCGCACGTCATAAATCTTATGGGTAAATGATCTGTCTTTGGGCCACAGCATGATGGCAGATATGGTATTTATTGCAAATCTAGAATAAGTCTGTAGTAGTAGATGGTAATGTATGTTAATTCTTGTAGAGTTTTACATGGGTTTCTATATTTAAAGGAAAATACACAAACACAGATTTAACAGCATATGTATTTGAATAACATGTTGTGTTCAAATTAACCCATCCATATATCTGAGCCATTGTTTTTTTATGTTGTCTCCTTGTATCCTTCTAACCCACCCCTATCTCAAAAACTGTCAAATGGTGAAACATACAATTTTCTTGTAAATTTTTGCAAACCACAGGTTACAAGCACAACAAAGGACAGTGCATATGCCCTACACCCTTCATCCTTTGGACATTCCCAACTCAGAAAAGGGATGCAGAACGCAGAAAGCAGTGGGTAAAGTTAGTGAACAGGATAGACAAACTGGCAGGCAAAGTTTGGCAGGCAAACTCGTAAGTACTTATACATGATGCACATATACATAACTAATATTAACAAAAACTTACACTACATCTAAACTATACAAAACATGGAGTTAGTTCCTCATACATATTCATAACAAATATAACTAGTACTTTCCATCAGTTGCAGACAAACCACACATTAATTCAGTTTGCAGGCACATCTGCTAGTTACATGTAGCAAAGCGTGTTCATTTAGTCATCCATTGGCTTATTGTGTCAGCTGTACATTTCTAAGCACAAACTATATCTATGTACTCCAACTTAAGGCCTCCACTTGTGGGGACATGATGTTATAGGTAAGTTTGACATTTACTCTTGACACTTATCACAAAACCAATCATCACACAGATTGTCTGCTTCAAACCCAACACACCCCCAGTGAAACCACCTGAAACATTTGTCACAGCCAACACTATTGTCAGCCTCATCTTCAACATGATCTACACAGTCAGTCTTACAAATTCCACATAGGTAAATAGGTCCTGAAACTTTTGGTGCTTTCCTCTGTCGTCTAGCAGTCACTCTTCTTCTCTTTGCAGGTGGACCATCTTGGGCTGTGGACTCAGACTCTGGAGGGAGGACTGCAGGTGGTGGCACAGGTGGACCATCTTGGGCTGTGGACTCAGACTCTGGAGGGAGGACTGCAGGTGGTGGCACAGGTGGACCATCTTGGGCTGTGGACTCAGACTCTGGAGAGTGGACTGTAGAGTCATCAGTACCTGTATGAACAAAGGGGAAAGAGCCAGTCAAGAAAAAAATCCCCATAGACAGCAAAGTATTGAGTAAGGTTTTTAGCATGATTGTTTATAGACGTTTGAGAATTTTTACATGTCTGACATGGTGGCCCTGTATTCTTTACTTTTTAGCATGCTTGTAAGTAAGTGTTAAGAATTGTACATTCTGACCTGGTGCCACTGTGTCTACACTTGGAGATACTGTGTCTTCATGCTGACTTCCTGATGTTTCAGTGGTACCTGTATATAAAGGACGGGAAAGAAGAAATGTGTACTCAGCTCTCCCATATGGATGTACATGGGCACATTATTTTTGCAATGTATGTACTACATATACATTATTAATATGTTTGTTCCATTTTTATGTAATCAATACTATCATGCAATGTAATTATGAATGTAATATACTATGTAGTGGCGGTATACATTTCTATATTTCTACATTTTTATCTATTTCATTTCACTCCATGTCCTTGATCTTCCGTGCGTCCGACGTGTGTTTGCGTTCTTCCTGGGCTTGGTCCATTCTGCTGGTTTTGATGTACAGGACTTGTTTGTGACCCCGGTTGCCCATGCGTGGTCCATCTTGAACAGGACACCTGCAACATGGCTGCATGTGGATCCTAAACTGTAAAGAAAAATATTTTGAGTACTATTAAACATTTGTCCTGACTGAGTTTGGATTATATTATCAACTGAACATGAAAAAATACAAGTGCCATTACAATATTCTGTAGGACTAATTGCAACAAGTATAGTATAGTACTAGTGCATATTTAAGTACTAGTGCTATTGTCCTAGCTGGAACTTAAAATGGTCCAACATGCACTTGCAAATGAAAAAAAAGATTTCTAAAAGTGCTTGATTCAAATGTTTATTGATGTTTTCGCACTATATGCTATACAATACATGCTAGTTACTAATAGTTAGTCCACTACTTTGTAAGTCATTCAATTATTTGCCATGTAATAAAATGTCTATTGATGTGTATACAATACATGGAGCTTATGTTGGCCTACTACTTTGTGAACTGTCTGATTATTTGCCCTATAAGAAAAAAAAACATAATTTGTCAATATTACCCAGCAAAGCAGCTGCAGTACGCTGTCCGGATTTTCCCAGTTGATTTTTGGAGTGCGACCCACACTCGGTGTGCCTCATCATTTTTCTCTGTGATCTGCCACTGGTTGATTTTACAAAGCAAACATTTTAATTCTCATTTATTTGATGATACAAAACTTCATTGATGAAGCCAGAATCAAAGTACGAAAATGCTTTGCCATCCTTGTAATCCCCCCATTAGCCTCTTCTGCAGCTGTACCTCTCCATTAGCCACAAGGTACTCTGCCATGTCCCCATACATAGTTGGTGGCCAGTGCTGCATCCCTTCTTCCTCTTTCTTCCAGCCACTTTTCAGGTCAACAAAGGGGTCGGGGAGTTGTCTGCCATCCACAGTCAAAAGTGATCTGTAGTCTTCGCATCTAACAAAATAAACAGTATGGTGTCAATCATAGAGATCAAATCAATGTGGAGATGAGTTTGAAATAAAGACCGTTCTGGTTCATTTCTAGACTATTCTGTATAAATATTTATTAGATGCAACAATGGATGCAAGTATAATTTATGTAGGTGAATTTGGAACTCGTTAGGTCCCCTTCGTTACTACATTTTCTAGACAAGTAACCTTACATGTTCAAACAATGCCTAGAGTTCTATGTACAAAACAGTCGTAGTAAAATCGCCCATGCACACGATGAAGGGTGGTTATAAGGACTACACAAATACAGACATGGAAACCCTTATTTACACTTGGACATGTACAAAGAACAAGGAAAATCACCTCTTTTGTTGTTCTTCCTCGGGAGTCGGAACCAACGGATGGCGCATTACTGTGGCTGAAAAAGCTAGAGCCCTGAGTTCATGGACGCTACCCGTCACCGGAAGTCCCCTCGCTCGCAAAAAAGGCTGCAACTGGCGTTTTGGCCAAAGTTTAAAGTCATCCAGCGATGTTTCTGCATCTGGCGTGATTGGAACGCCAGCCATTGTTTACATCCGAAGTGACACTGAACCTTGACCCGGACCACAATGCATCGCGCGCGCACATGCGCAGTCGGAACTGCGAGGAGGCTTATATTATCAAATGGGGTGTTATGTATTGTAGGTCAGTTAGTGGAACACCCCCATACCCCCTGTCCAATTAGTGGCAGATTCCATAAAGAGCAGCATTTACCAGGCATTTACCATATGGTATGAGTTACAGAAGACTGGAAGACTACATTCTGAGAAGAGAGCCCTGGTGTCAGGAGGTGCTGTATCTGGAATCGAGATCTTGCGTGTGTCCGACCGTGTTTTGAAGCACAAGTACGGACCTTGTAACATTGGCGTTGTCGGCAGGACGGTTGGACAGGATACGTTGGAGATATTGTGGAACGTGGTGAACTGGGAAGATTGGAGTATTTTTTGTCTTGGACTGAGTAAGTTCGGAGATCTGTGATCACACGTACGTGGACGAGAGCATGCAGTGTCAAGACCGGGAGAAGTTGGAGGTGTTGCCAGGATCGTGTGGCCTGCAGGCCTAGGACTGGATACCAGTAGGTGGTTATAGCTGCAGGAGATTTCTACACGTGACAGTGGAACAGAGAGTTTGAGGTCAAGAGGATCAAGGAGATTCTAGGACTAGTAGTTCCAGGAGAAGACGGGACGCCGTGGAGCCAAACAGTGTTGTATGGAGTCCGACGCTTTCCGGAGATTGACGACTCGAGGAGGAGGGGAGAGTAAAACCTCACAACACAACACAAGAAAATATGAAAATACACTCCTAGGAGATACAGACTTCTACTAAGTTCTAGAAACTCGCAACAGGTCAACAGAACAACGAAATACACCGTCCCACAGTCCTAAATGATGGGATAGTTCCTACAGGTCAGTACATGAATCTGCTGTTGATGAATTAGCCATGTGTTGTTGACAGGTAGCTTCCGCTAGGGCTTGTTCAGTACAGCATTTTGAGAGTGGGGTTCACTGGTCACATCTGGTTCCACTTTTATCAGAGACACTGAGTCTGGGAGGGATAGTGCATTAACTGCAGGGACCGTTCATTGACTGTGGCTAGGGGGTGGTGTACCTGTGTAAGCTAATTGAACAAGGGAAGGAGATGGGCTTGGAGGGGGAAAACCTCCTGAAGTTTGTGACGGCCCAGCAGACCATAGAAAGAGATGAACGGGCCAAGGAAAGAGAGGCTCAGGGAAGAGATGAGCTGGAGATGGAAGAGCTGAAGGTACGGCAGGCGGAATACGAGTACCATAAGGCAAAGAAAGAAGGTGCAGGAGATGTCAAAGCGAAGACTCCACGGCTGCCCAGCTTTGTGGAGGGCGAACCAGTGGATAGCTATACCTTCTAAGGTTCGAGCGGTTCGCACGGGCGAACAAGTGGGAGAAGGAGACATGGGTAGCCTGATTAAATCGCTTTTGCCGGCCGCCCAACATCCAGCCGGCCCCCGTGGGTGGCGGACTATGTAGGGAGCCCCCCGGAGCTTGGGTTACATAGGCTAGAGACATGGGCGTCTGCGCTTATTTTTTAGCGCTCTACTAACGGGGTTGTCAGATGCCTCAGATGCCGA